GCAGTTCAAATGCTTCATTGGTGTTCTTGATATTTACGGGTTCGAACATTTCGCCAAGAACTCTTTCGAACAATTCTGCATCAATTATGCCAACGAGAAGTTGCAACAAGAATTCAACCAGCATGTGTTCAAGCTTGAGCAGGAAGAATATGTCCGAGAAGAGATCGATTGGACATTCATTGACTTTTCGGATAACCAACCTTGTATCGATCTTATTGAAGCGAAGCTCGGTGTCTTGGCCCTCTTGGATGAAGAGTCTCGACTTCCTATGGGCTCGGATGAGCAGTTTGTCATGAAGCTTCACCATCACTTTGCCGCTGACAAGCAAAAGTTCTACAAGAAACCTCGCTTCGGGAAATCTGCATTCACCGTCTGTCACTATGCAGTCGATGTTACTTATGAATCTGATGGATTTATCGAGAAGAACCGTGACACTGTGCCAGACGAGCATTTGGAAGTGTTGCGCAATTCTTCCAATCCTTTCATCAAGGAGATTCTAGAAACTGCTGCGGCCGTTCGTGAGAAGGACTCTGCTGCTATGTCATCTAAGCCAGTTGCAGCAGCTCCAGGGCGTCGGATTGGCGTTGCGGTCAATCGCAAACCTACGCTTGGAGGAATCTTCAAGTCTTCGCTGATTGAATTGATGCACACCATCAACAACACAGAAGTTCATTACATCCGTTGCATCAAACCCAATGAGGCAAAGGAATCTTGGAAATTCGAAGGTCCTATGGTTCTCAGTCAGCTGAGAGCTTGTGGTGTCCTGGAAACTGTCAGAATCAGTACTGCTGGCTACCCGACACGATGGACTTATGAGGAATTTGCCGTCCGTTACTACATGTTATGCTATTCCTCGCAATGGACCTCGGAGATTCGGGATATGTGTCATGCAATCCTTCGAAAGGCCCTGGGAGATGAGAAGCAAGATAAGTATCAACTTGGTCTTACTAAAATCTTCTTCCGAGCTGGTATGCTTGCATTCCTGGAGAACCTCCGAACGTCCAGGTTGAATGAATGCGCCATTATGATTCAGAAGAACTTGCGTGCCAAGTATTACCGCCGCCGCTACCTCGATGCTCGTGACTCAATTCTCACCACTCAGGCCTTCATTCGAGGTTTCTTGGCACGGCAGCAGGCCCATGAGATTCGCCGGACCAAGGCTGCTACTACCATCCAGCGGGTCTGGCGTGGCCAGAAGGAGAAGAAGCGGTACAATCAAATCCGCAAAAACTTCATTCTCTTCGAGTCTATTGCCAAGGGATTCCTGTGCCGACGCAACATCATGGACTCTATTAATGGAAATGCGGCTAAGGTCATTCAGCGTGCTTTCCGCTCCTGGGTTCAAATTCGGGCCTGGAGACAGTATCGCCGCCATGTTATCATTATCCAAAACCTCTGGAGAGGAAAACAGGCAAGAAATTCTTACAAGAGACTTCGCGAGGATGCCCGTGATCTCAAGCAGATTTCTTACAAGTTGGAGAATAAGGTGGTTGAGTTGACCCAGTACTTGCAATCTCTCAAGCTTGAAAATAAAACCTTGGTTTCACAGCTGGAAAACTACGATGCCCAATTGAAGTCATGGAGAACCCGACACAATGCCTTAGATGCTCGCACGAAGGAGCTCCAGGTTGAAGCAAACCAGGCTGGTATCACCGCGGCCCGGTTAGAGGCGATTGAAGAGGAGATGAAAAAGCTTCAACAAAGCCACACTGAGGCTCTGGCTACCATCAAGCGCCTCCAAGAAGAGGAGAGGATATCCCGTGACGCTCTTACAGTCGCTGATGACGAGTTGGGGCGCCTCAGGCTCTTGGATTCTGACCATGAGAAGGATAAGATTGGTCTCCGGCAGCGGATTTCCGATCTCGAGGAACAGCTCGAGGCTGCGAAGAGATCTGTGCCTTTGCACGGCATGAACGGCGATGGTCTATCCAACGGGGGCGCAGTCTTGAGCACTGCCCCGGGCTTGATCAACCTGGTATCTTCAAAGAAACCTAAGCCCAAGAGACGCAGTGTCGGTGCCGAGAGGATCGAGACGGATCGCTTCAGTGGTGCATACAACCCTCGGCCTGTTTCGATGGCGGTCACCCCTGGATCTATGATGTCCCGTCAAAATGCAGCCATCTCTCCTGGTCTAGAGTCGGTCGAGATGGAACTCGAGAACCTACTTTCCGAAGAGGAAGAATTGAATGAGGAAGTTGCCATGGGTCTTATCCGCAACCTGAAGATTCCGCTCCCAACTTCGACACCGCCTCCAACTGAAAAGGAAGTCTTGTTCCCAGCATACCTGATTAACCTTGTTACGTCGGAGATGTGGAACAACGGATTTGTTAAGGAGTCGGAGCGATTCTTGGCCAACGTTATGCAGTCTATCCAGCATGAAGTTATGCAGCATGATGGGGACGACGCGATCAACCCCGGTGCCTTCTGGTTATCCAACGTGCACGAAATGCTATCATTTGTCTTCCTGGCCGAGGATTGGTATGAAGCACAGAAGACCGAGAACTACGAGTATGACCGCCTGTTGGAGATTGTCAAGCATGACCTTGAGAGCTTGGAATTCAACATCTATCACACTTGGATGAAGGTCTTGAAGAAAAAGCTGTACAAGATGATTGTTCCAGCCATCATCGAGTCTCAATCACTTCCCGGCTTTGTCACCAGTGAAACGAATCGTTTCCTTGGGAAGCTTCTGCCCTCCAATAATAACCCAGCCTACAGCATGGACAACCTCCTCAGTCTATTGAACGGTGTTTACAAGGCAATGAAGGCCTTCTACCTTGAGGACGCCATCGTCCTCCAGACTGTCACGGAGCTCTTGCGCTTAGTTGGTGTCACTGCTTTCAACGATCTCCTCATGCGACGTAACTTCCTGTCATGGAAGCGTGGTCTGCAAATCAACTACAACATCACTCGTATTGAGGAGTGGTGCAAGAGTCATGATATGCCAGAGGGGACGTTGAAGCTGGAGCATTTGATGGTAAGATTCCTTGCTTTATATTCATTTCGGTATTATACTAACGCCTACATAGCAAGCGACCAAGCTTCTGCAGCTGAAGAAGGCTACTCTGAATGATATTGAGATCATTCAAGACATTTGCTGGATGTAAGTGGACCCAAGTGTCATCTCCCACGACTTCACATGACTAATTTTGTGCAGGCTGTCTCCAAACCAAATCCAGAAACTTCTGAACCAATACCTGGTGGCAGATTACGAACAGCCCATCAACGGCGAGATCATGAAGGCCGTCGCTTCTCGCGTCACAGAGAAGAGCGATGTGCTCCTCCTGGCTCCGGTAGACATGGAGGACAGTGGCCCGTACGAGATCGCCGAGCCGCGTGTCATCACTGCCCTGGAGACTTATACTCCATCCTGGCTACAAACACCGCGGTTGAAACGACTTGCTGAGATTGTGTCCGCGCAAGCGATGGCACAGCAAGAGAAGCTCGAATGGGACCATGGGATGGTTGAGGAATAGATCTGTACTGTTGTATATTAGACTTAGGGATTTCCTGTGAGCTACGGATTACGACTTGCCTGGATTATCCATGGCCTTTGCGATACAGTGTTGCGCGTGATTTTCGTTTGTTTCAATTGCATATGACATCTTGGCTTATAGACCAGAAGAGGTTGCTAAGAGAATTCCTGTAATGAGTTTTCCTCTTCTAAAACATAGACGACAATCCAAATACAAAAATGGAATGCCCGAAGGGTTTATTGTCCCCAGTAGAGCAATTGATGTGTACGTTTTTTCTTTTTCTTCTTGATTTCATGAATTTTGAACATATACTATGGATTAATTCTCACCTCCTATCGTCGGAGTGCTACAATGGCTACCCCGAGGTGGAGAAAAAGAAAATAAGAAACGAAACCAAAGAAAGGAACTTTCGAAGATATATATCCATGCAGTCCTTAGATAGGGTCAGGTGATCCCAACATGTATGAATCCCAGCACCGTCAATATATGCAATCAGCGATAGCACAGTGGGGCACACTATTATCTGCGACTTGCAACATCCAACCCATACCAACCCATACCATCACCTACCAATCTAAAATACATACACAGTCAAAATGGCCATCACCACGCTGAACTTCATCACCGGCAACAAAAACAAGCTCGCCGAGGTGCAGGCTATCCTCGGTAAGGTCATCGAGGTGAACAACCAGGAGGTCGATGTCCCCGAGATCCAAGGCACAATCGAAGAAATCGCCAAAGAGAAGGCCAGACGCGCCGCCGAAGTGGTAATTTCTTCCTAGACTTTTCATGCTAAAATTGCATTTGCTTACGACGGAATAGATCAATGGACCTGCCTTGACCGAAGACACTGCCCTGGAGTTCCATGCGCTCAAGGGTCTTCCTGGGCCATACATGTATGTCTTGGCTATATTAAGGCTTACTTACTATGTGATAATAGTACTGATGATTGCCAGCAAATCTTTCATGGAGAATCTGGGCCACGAGGGCTTGAACAAGATGCTCGATGGCTTCGAGGACAGAACTGCCGAAGCTGTGTGTACCTTTGCCTTTTGCGAGGGCCCCGGCGCAGAGCCGATTATTTTCCAGGGAAGAACTGAGGTGAGGCTAATACAGTCATTTCAAATTTGGATATATCTAACTGTGGTTGATGTACAGGGTACTATTGTACGGCCCAGAGGCCCAGCAAAATTCGGTAAGTGAACATCAAACTGAGGTCCGCAGAGAATCAAAATCAAGATCTGATATATGACAGGCTGGGATGCTATCTTCGAATATAATGGCAAGACATATGCCGAGATGGACAAAGACGAAAAGGTAAGAACGGTCTTATTTTCCCGTGAAAAAAGCCATGTACTAAGAGCCCTGCGAACAGAACAAGGTCTCGCACCGGTACAAGGCGCTGGTGAAGTTGCAGCACTGGCTAGCCGACCAACAGTAAATGGGTATAGAACTCGGCCCGCAGAAGACCATAGAAGAATGTGAAACGAAGATCAAAAATTGTATATGGCCTGGCGCATTCCTTCAATCCGCATTCTGCGCATGCGACTGCTTCCACGAATCTACCCATTGCGCGATCCGCTGGCAGTTCGAGTCTACATCTGCATCCTGCTCGCTGTTCAACTCGACCACGATCTCTTCGTCGAATGCCTCCCGCGCTTCGTCTGATAGGACGCCGAAGATTTCCGCGTCGACGTTCTCTTCTAGCTTTTTCTCATGGTAGCCCCTTGGAATATGTTAGTTTGACGGCGTAGATATGTTGCGAGGTTGGTTGTCATACCGGGAGGAAAGTCGGTCGTAAAGAACATCTGTAGTGGGGCAGCGGAGGACAACGACGAGATCGATCCAGGACTTAGGGAAGAGGTCACAGGCATGCCAGTCGATCAAGTAGCCGCCATTAGGAATTTCATCTTCAAGGGCATCGAGGAGCTACATCGCGCATGGATTAGCATGTGAAATGTTGAGTCTTGAACCAATGGTGGGAAGAGGAGCTTCCAGTTCAAGAGAAGAGCTTGTAGGAACCTTTCTCACCTTATCCTCGTCGACAACCCAGGTCTTCAATTCCTCGTCGTATTCATCGAAGCATCCACGGTCCTTTGCGACCTGGTTAATGGATAGGTGCTTCAAGCCGATCTCTTGCGCGAGTTGTTCGCAGTGGACGGTCTTCCCCACGCCGGGGGTGCCGGTGATGATCACATTTGGAGAGGTGCGCATAGTTTCTTAATGGATAGAGATCTTGAAGTGGAATTGTAAATTGTAGATTGAAAATGGTTTCCCCAGATGAAATAATTCCATCGGACTAATTTTCCTCCCGGCTATCTTATCGTGGAGGGGTAAGGTACCGCATTTGGAATGTATAAAAGACATTTATAGAAACTTGTAACTATGTGTTTTTTATTTAACTAACATGATACAAATGATATGCATTGTTAATGGAATCGTTTGATTTTATGCGGCTTCATGTTCCGGGCTGGTTGTACATAGCCTAGTACCAATTAGCATTAGAACGATGAGAATTGAACAATCACTCACTTGAGAAGCTCGAATATCTTGTACTTTTGCAGATAAGGCGTTCCTCTGCGATATGCTTTGAGTAGACGAGTTGGATCTGAGGGCTTGACAAACGTCCCGAGCAAGCGCTGCATTGCAGGAGAAGTCTTGAACATGGGGTCGAATACCAGCAGATTTGCGCTGCCGTTGTCTCGGATTTCAAATCCTACAATTGTCATAGAATGACCTGGCTCAAGTTAGATAGAGGTATATAGGTTTGAAAGTTACAGAAAGTTGTACCTTGATGCTGGAAGTATATCGGAGGGAGATCAGTCTGAACGATCTTCGCATCGTCGTCTGGTGAGCACGCTGATCGGAAATATTCGGCGACATCAATGTAAAGAGCCTCATAGGCCCGAACGTTGCCTGATTCTGACAGACTCCGGGCTTCACATCTAGATATAGGGTCAGCGGGATCGAATCGAAGCAGGCTAGACAACTCACGGGATTCCTAGACTCATGAAAAGCGCTTGTGCCTAGGTACTCATTAGGTATAGCAGATAATCAATACGGAAAAAAGACTTACTTCAGGCGTACCAATAAACTTGCGCGTATTTTTGATACCCCCTGTCTCAGCTCTTCCAGAGCTATTGAACCCCATATCCCAGGCCGACTCAATCATATCCTGCAACTCCAGGATCGTTGGCCCCTTATTTGGAAAGTGCTCATAGCCAAAGCTACGAGACTTTTGCAGCCAAGAAACCAGCATTTGAATATTGCGATAGCCACAAAACCCGCCTTCCCGACGCATCTTGCAGATATGGCGGACTTTGGGGCTACAGAATAATGCCCGCTGGACAGATTTGTCCTGTTCACACAGCCGAGCAAGAACAGGAATTAAGTTGTCGGTCTCATTTTCTACTGTCTCGCGCCGTGTGAGTTTGCCATCGGACGTGATTTGGGTTTGCTTTGATGTGCTGCCGCCCTTCTCCAGCATTTTCCTTAGCCATGAGGGCATTTTCTTCTCGTGGGCATGCGGACCCAATTCCGAGCGCTGGAAAGGGTTAGTACTTATCTTCAGAGATGCAAATCTGGGACAAATACCCCTAATCTCTTCGTCCCGTTGGCATTGGTTGTCCTTGGGGGACTGTGAGGCCGTGGTGTCTTGGCAGTGTTTACTCGCGAGGAGTCTCGTTGCATCCCACGCTTGCCTCCTTTGTGAGAGTTCAGCATGTCGAGTGAATCTTCATCATCAAAGTACCCATCGCCATGTACGTCTGTAGTTGAGCGTGCCGGTGTGCCCCCAGTATCATCCATGCCCTCCGCAACATGCAGATCCAGGTGACTGGAGAGCTCGGCAATTTCTATTGTCTCGCCACATCCATGTGGACAGTCGACATATTTGTCTGCGCCACCCTGGCTCACTGGCAGTGAAGCTGAGTTTTGGCCAGCGAGATCCTGCGGGTTATCCTGTATGGAACTAGCTAGCCCTGTTTCTGGGTGGCAGTATTCGATGTGTTGGGACACAAAATTAGCATCGGAGTCTGCGAAAGTGCAAAAGGGGCATGAGGCGGTGTTGTTGTCGGCCATGGAATTTTCGTCCAGTGCTGACATTGGAGGGGAAATTGTTAGGTTGATGCTGCAGACACCAAGATGAGTAGCAGATGTATATGTACAAAATGCAGAGAGAGAAAAAGAATGCCAAAGTTGATTACACAAAGAGCCAGAAGTATAGACAAAGGATTTAATTTGATGCCTAAACGGCCAGACAGCCCGTTTGCCGAGACCCACTAGGCGGAGTTGTCAGTTCATGCGGCGTACACATGCGCAACACACAACATACAACATACAATCTGTGTTATCTTTCATTCCATATATTAATGAACCTTGGAAGAGATATAATTATTGGTCTCTTTCTTGTCCTCTTTCTGATCCGTTTTTCTTTCCAGCCCTAGCCGAACTGGTCCAGCTCGCCTCTGAGAAGTGCTTCCCTTCATGACAGCCGTGGGCATTGAACTTCTTTGGCCTTTTTCTGGCCTCTTTTCATAGGAGTCACGTGGTCATGAATATCCGGGATTGACAGATTTCCCATCATTCCACGATGCCAAAGAAGGCGAACACTCTAGAGACCAGACTATAAAGTCTCTCTCCGCAAGATATTCAGTCTTCTTTTCGGGCGACGGCCAATGGGGCTGCTGGAGCCTCCGGATGGCACGAGGAATCGTGAATTGCTCAGGGATTCTATCCTGGAAGGTGAGAATCCGAAATTCTCCAGTCACCTACAGGCTCCTCGGTCTCAAACACTTCAGCTTGGCCATTGGCGCCTCTCGCTTGCTGTTAAACTGCTCGGAGCGCAAATTTCCTCAAGCTGGAATTCCAACAAACTGAGTGCGTAGCTCAAGCTCCTGGATTTGAATATGGACCTTTGGCCACTTGGTGCACGTGGCCTCCTTCCTATAGTGGCCATGAGGTATCGACTAGATCTGAGCAACATGCTGATAGCTATTCTCAATGTAGGGAAAGAGATCAAGGAATCTTACTCTCCGCGTGGCTCTCTGGGTTCAAATAACCAGAATCTGCCCCCAAGGTAGATGAAGTAAATAATCGGAAAAAACGGCAACGGTCTTTGACAAATCGTGAATCATCTAGGTATGGGGCTACTTTGGCTCTTCTCTCCATAAGATGTATGGCAATGTCCATACAGATAGCTATTGCGGCTATTTTCTGTGACTATAGAATGTTTACAGGAGGATCAACATGCCCACTCGATGTTTCTGGCATGTTCCGAAAAGTCGCAATCATTTCTATCGTGACGTGACGGCTTGGGTCACCGCGCAGCAGAATCATCATATTAACAAGGACAACTGAATCCCAAGCATGGTCCATTCTAGTATATCACTGTACTAGTACTAGAAATCAATTGTCGAGTCCTGATATATACTCCGGAAGAACATTCACCCCGCCAAGACCCAATGAGGTACATTTCATATGAAAATGGCGTGATTGGTGGGGCCTCCGACATCGTTGGTTCCTGGCCGGAACAGGCAGGCGGTTTCTCTTTGCATAACTCTATTTCCAATTGAGTCACAAAAAAAAAATATGCAACCCGAAGTGGCTCCTAGGGTCTCCGCTTTCGCCGGTTCCCCCTCCAAAACCACTTCTCACTCCCTTGCATTACATTGTACACTGTCTTTACTTATTTGGGGTCGACACTATGGATACCACAATTCTTAATTCGAATTTGCCAGTGAACACGCAGGCCCATAGCAATTGGGTCGTGCAGAAATTCGGCGGCACGAGTGTCGGCAAGTTTGCGCGCAATATCATTGAGCAGGTGGTACAGTATGACGCACTTTCTCAATTTCGACTTGACGGAGACTGACAATTGTATAGACCGAGTCTCGTGAACAACAGAGTCGCCGTCGTATGTTCTGCGAGAAGCAGTTCTACAAAAGCTGAAGGCACAACCAACCGGTGAGTCATTATGCTCCGCCAGATGACGCTTGAGGTATTGAGATACTAATACCAATTTCTTCCGAACAGGCTATTGCGGGCAGCGCGGGACGCTGAAAATCCTCGTTCAAGGCAATATCTGACATTGGTGGAGGCTGTTCGTTTGGAACATGTACAAGTCGCCCAGGAACAATTGAAATCGGTAGAAATAAGGGATCAAGTGATTGCGGATATAACCGGAGAATGCGAACGAGTACTCAAGTTCCTGGAGGCCGCTCAAACCCTAGGAGAAATCAGTGCGCGCTGTGTGGACAAGGTGATGAGTACCGGCGAGAAGCTGAGCTGTCTGCTCATGGCCGCCCAATTACAAGACCGCGGGGTTGATTCGCAGTATGTGGATCTTGCAGAAGTCATTGATTTCCCCATCGGTCCCCACGGCTTGGACCAGGACTTTTATAATACCCTGGCGGCAGCTTTCGGCAGCAAAGTCGCGGCCTGCGGGCATCGAGTACCTGTGATGACTGGGTACTTTGGTACCATCCCCGGTGGTCTGCTCGATCAGATTGGTCGTGGATATACCGATCTCTGTGCCGCCCTTGTCGCGGTCGGAACCCGCGCCCAAGAGCTGCAGGTCTGGAAGGAGGTAGATGGTATCTTTACCGCGGACCCGCGTAAAGTGCCAACGGCTCATCTGCTCCCGACCATTACCCCCGCCGAAGCCGCCGAATTGACGTTTTATGGATCCGAAGTCATTCATCCGTTCACCATGGAGCAAGTCATTCGCGCAAGGATTCCTATTCGCATTAAAAACGTCATGAACCCAAAGAACGCAGGCACTATTATCTTCCCCGACTCTGTGGCCGAACTGGAGAGAACCACACCCGGACATGATCCACGTTTGTTCCGGACCCGGAGTCCAAGTCTTGCGCATACACCGAAACGTCCGACCGCAGTCACAATCAAGCATGATATCCTGGTGATCAACGTACATTCCAACAAGCGGTCGCTCTCGCATGGTTTCTTTGCCGGCATTTTCTCCGTATTGGACAAGTGGCGCCTATCCATTGATTTGATCTCGACCAGCGAGGTTCACGTGTCCTTGGCCCTTCACTCAGAGTTGCCCCTTTTGAATGGAAACGGACGGGATGAGTATCAGATCATCGACGAAGATCTCCAGGGTGCACTGAACGACCTGGAGAAGTACGGAACTGTGGACATCATCCCCGAGATGGCCATTCTCAGTCTGGTGGGCAAGCAGATGAAGAATATGA